GCAGGGAGCCTCCTTCTCCCTCTGACCCTCCCCCCTCTCATGTGCTCTCTGTCTCTCTCATTCTCTCTGTCTCAGATAAATAAATAAAATCTAAAAAAAAAAAAAATTAAATGAGGCAAGATTTGGAGATCAACTCAAGGTCACAGTAAAAGAGATACGACAGGCCAGTGATTGAGGCTGGGATGGTCAGGGAAGACCTCATCAAAGAAGAGAGTACAAAGTACCCACACAGAAATGGGAAGTGGCAGAGTTAGGGGACAGGCGGGCATGCATGACCTAATTCTGTTGTTGCAGATACTTGAAGAGTTACAACATTCCAGCTTTGAAAAGAAAGTGCATATCCTGTACCAATACAACCTCTTCATCCTCAGAAGAAGACAGACAGAACCACAAGGCAAATGATGCCGAAGCCTTGCACGGTAACACAGATGCCCTCCTAGCTAGACAGACGACGATTACAAAGCCATCCCTTTCTGTTTCTAAGTTTTTGTCTTTACTTATTTTGTTAATCACAAACAAGCCTAGTTTCATATTGCTCCTTTATGGCCAGTAGGTTTTAGCCCATCAGTTACAAACATCTGCAAATTGAGTCTTTAACATACGTTTCCCGTGGGGATTTTTCTTTTCATTGTCAATTTCTCTTGTGCCCCCAGCTGTGTCTCAGAGCCCAGCCGGAGCTAACCTGGAGATGCCGACTGCCGGGCGGGCCGCACACGTTGCAGGAGGCGCTCCGGGGACACTGGCCCCCGAGGCGCTGAGCCTGGGCTCCCGTGTGAGCAGCGACAGCAGCACCATCGGTCATGCCCCACCCCCAGAGTCAGGTGCCACGTTTACCTTCTGCTCTCCAGCGCACTCGGTGTGAAACACACTACCGTGAGAGAACAAAAGCCCTTAACACCAGTTACTTAGGAATGACTTCTTAAATTATAATTATGTTTTCCTTTCTTTGACTCAGTTAAAGTACTTTTGGAAATATCATCATGTTTGTATTGGTTACATAGTTGGGACTGTATTTCTAAGTCATTGTCACTTGTTGTCACATCAGCTGATGTGTGGGAAGCACTTAGAAACAGTACCTGATAACATAGTAATAAGTCCTCAGTTAGTGTTAACTATCACTGTTGAAGTTTCCTGTGGGGCTGCATTAGGTCACTTTGTTGCTGCCCTTGAAAGAAGGTGTCCTTGTCAAACTTTGACTGTGGTTGTGACTAGATTGACCATATATACGTCCAGATTTTTGTATTGGCCTGATGACAATGAGGAGAGTGTGTTTAAAACTCTCTTCCTTTTAACAACATAATGACTTGGTAAATTATTCTGATGTCTTCTTTTTGTTCCTTTTTACTGCCTCCTGTCCTTTGACTTTGTTGTTGTAACAATTTGGTGGATGAAGAACTGGCGACCAAGGCGTTAAATCAGGTTTTCGGTTCTCTCTCATTTCTCTTTGCTAGTCTTCAGTGGCAGATTCGTAAACGTGTTGAGCTATTACTCTGTGCCGCCGTCTGTCCTGAGTCCTTCATGAGAATTAACTCACTTGATCCTCACACTGACCCTTGGAGATGGAGAGTATAGTATTGACAGGTGGGCTGGGCGTCAGTGAGAAGACACAAGAGTCACAGCTGTTGTGAGATTAGATTATGTTTCTAATGAACTGAAAATAGTTCTATCGGCGCTGAGCTAGCCCCTCAGGAAGGGGCAGATGCACATTTTTTAGTGTCCCTTTCTTAACACTTTCGATTCCCATGTGGACACACAGCTGCCAGTGCCAGCCCGCACACGGTGGGTCTCACCCAGTGGCGAAAGAAGTTTTGGTTATGCCTCTCAACTTCTCGTGCTCTGGTGTATATTACCATTTTGAAAGAACTCATACTGCAGTCTCTAAGCTTTCCTTTAAGGGAATATTTACTGATCATTGTTTCTTCTGATCTTAAACCAGTCTCAGCATCTGCGGGGCCCATCTTTATTCCAAGGACAGGAAACAGAATCAGGGGATCTGTAGAGTATCCATATATCTTGTACTGTCTGGAAAGCCTGTATTCCTGCAGCTTACACCGTGACTCTACTAATGAGTGGGGTCTGAGGACTGTGACCACAAACGCATTTCCCTGCCAGTCATGATCTCCATTATGTATACGGAGCAGTTAAGGCACAAACAGGTTAAGTCCCTTAACTTGCCCAAAGTCACATAGCAGATGAGTGGCAGACTAGGGAATCATAAGTAGTCTCCGGAAACCATTCCATTAACACATGTTTTTGAATCTGCAGTAGGGTCAAGTTGGAGTGTAAAATAAAGCCAAGAGATAAATTAAAATGTAATTTTAAGAAACACACAAATAAACCTGGGGCATCTGGGTGGTTCAGTCAGTTAAGCATCTGACTCTTGGTTTCAGCTCAGGTCATGATCTCAGGGGGTGGGTCGTGGGATCAAGCTCTGTGCTGGGTGTGGAGCTTGCTTGGGATTTTCTCTCCCTCCTCTCTCTCCATCCCTCTGCCCCCACTCACACATGCACACTCTCTCTGTCTAAGAAAAAATAATAAACACACAAATAATCCAAAAGAAGGGCAGAAAAGGAGGAAGAGGGCAACAGCCATCACCACCGGAGGGAATATGTCATATTAATAATAATCACTCTAAACCCAACTATATCTACTCCCATTAAAAGGCAGAAATTGTCAGAACAGATAAAAAAAAAAAAAAA